AGGTGAGATTATACTGCTTCTGAAGAAGGGAGAGTATGTTGTTGTAGGGCTGAACTTTGTCAGGTCAAGTTCATGCTTAAGTCTTGAATTTCATTCCTTTTGCCAGTTGGAGAAGATCCATCAAAGCAGGAGAGAAGCAGAAAATGATTGGATCTTATTTCCTTATGACCTTGGGCTGTGACACCATTTGACCTCAGGAGATTAAGTAGGGTCAGAGCAGCACTTGAAAGAGGCTAACATGTATTTTTTTTCTGTAGGCTGTTTTGATGAATCAGTGGTTGAAACTATGGTTTCTGAATTAATGCTGTTCTAATCCACTAGCAAAGTATTTGGAATATGTTTTGTTACTCTGTGTGCTATTTCTGAGTGAGTCTGAAAATGGATGTTAACTGCTAGTATCTTAATAGCTTTCATGTATAAGGGTCATTTTACTTTTTTAGCCACATTTTAATTCAGGTATTTAGACAATGGTAACTTTTTTTTTTTTATATAATTTTGATTTACCCCCCTTGTCTTTGCTGTTTTCCCTGCATTTTAATTTTTTTTATATAATTTTGATTTACCCCCCTTGTCTTTGCTGTTTTCCCTGCATTTTAAGTACTGTTTTATGGTACCTGTCTCTGCTTGCTTTTCATTCTGTGGAGAATGCAATAATGTAAGCAATATCATTAGTTATGCAAGGAGAGATTTAACATATGCTATTAATTGATGGATACTTAACTGAATTTTAAGGTTACCATTTCCTAGTGGAGCTATATACTTCCAGGCATGTTTTTATGTGACAAGTCGTGTAAAGGGAACAGCTGATCATGTAGCTGGTTTCTAAACAAGTACTATTTCTACTTATTCTAATCAAAAAGTGTGAAGATAAAGACAGCTTTCTGCATTGTTAAAGAAAAAAATGCTGCAGTTTGCAACTTTTTTCATTCTAACCTCATCTATCTCCTGTTATTTTCTTCTGCCTTTCCTTCCCACTTGAAGGACTTCTCCAGGTCTGTCTTGGCAGAACTCACATCCTTTTCTTTCTTTAAGTTTTGTTGTAACAAGACAACTAAATTCACATTTTAACATTTGACTTGTGAATGTGTCAGCAAAATCCTCTGGCTCCCTACACAAGATTTTGCAGCTTGACACAAGTTTCTCTAACTAACTTGCCACTGACTTCACAACTCCGGTCTTCCACCTGATTTAGTATGTCTCTTTGGAAAACTGTGTTTCCATTTCAGTTGTAATAATGATGATTGCTTTGCCTTTGAGAATGATGCTTTCGTTCTTTTGATGTGGTTGATACAGTGCCAGATGTGTCAGCAGTACCTGAGTTTTTTTCCCTCAGCCCTGATATTGATGTAAAATGCAGGGAGTTCAAACAACACACTCAAAGACTTTTGACTCCAAGGTTAGACTTCTATAATAAACAATACTTTATCTGAAGTATTTCAAAGAACACTTAAGAAATTAGCCTATTAGGCATAAAGTCTTAAGCAACTTAAAGACATTAAAATTCTATTTCTTAAAGAATTTCAGCAGCTATAGATGGGAACTTCTTTGTGAACACAAGTTCAAGACCAAAGGAGTGCTATCTGTTTCACTAAGAAAAACTATCTCAATTTCTGTGTTACCTGAACAGGATCAGATTGCCTCATCTTACTATAAATAAGGTTTTAGACTTGAAACTCCAGTGGTTTCTTTGTATACATGCTCATGCAAATAGATAAATAGGCTGAAGAAAATCATTCTATATATATATATATATACATACCACTTTCATGCCTCTCCACATCACAGAAGAGGAGTGAGGGCAAACCTACCTGGTCAAGCACAGGCAAATGAAGAGGGGAGGATCCAGTCCTAGCAGACCTTTAAGTTCTGACAGTTCAGTATGGGTGCTCGAGTAGTATTGCTGGAACTGCTCATTATGCACTTCCATACTTAGAAGAATTGACAGCCAAGTCATTCAAGCCACCTCCTCTCTTGTCTGATCCTGTTCTTCTGATGAGTCATTTCGTTTTGTCTTAAAACGTCGTTAGAATCATTCATTGAGCCATAATTTCAGGTTGTTTTTTTTTTAACAAGAGAATATGAACATAGAGATAAACACTTCCAGGAGCATAACTTCCTTTTGGCTTTTTACATCTGTTATCAAGAAACTAGCTTGATCAAAGTACCAGCAGAGTTTTCTTAGTGTTTTCAGGTATTAGAAGACTTCATCTCACTTGGATTTTACTTACTCTTATAGTAATTTTTGTGTCACTTGACAGATTTTCCACTAATTCTTTATTTTTCTGTTCTGACTGCTCTGAAGGCAGTTACAGAAAAAATAACTTCTTTCCCTTTGCATAATCCCACAAGAAGTTAGTTTGAAAGATATAAAGCAGCAAACAGAGGAGTGTCTTTTGCAGTATGTAAACTTGTATGAAGGAAAGTGAATCTGACTAAAAGTCTGCACTCCTTATTTTGTCAGCACTCTTCATCAGGATCATTAGAATCCCAGTCCTGATAAAGTTTCTCAGGTTTTAAAACCTGCCTACCATATGGTAACTCTGATGAAACAGATACTCTTCTTGATTCTTCACTATACTAGTATCATCTTAAGGGGAAATAAAAAAAAAAAAAAAATTGTGTAAGCTTCTCCAGGGAACTCACCTGGAGGATTGCCAAAGGGATAAGATGGGCAAAAATTTAAATGGTGTTATTAATCAGCAGATTGGGCATTCTTCTTTTAGGAGTGCCGACGGTTTAGCTCAGGAAGGAAGCAGTGGCCTACAAACTCTGTTAGTGTAGGTGCTACACAAGGCTGAAATAGAAAGTTTGCTGATCACGTAGGGAATAGATGGGAAATGCTTATTAAGCGCTAGAGGGGCAGCTGTAATACTGCTAAAGTTTTATAGATCTTCTGGCAGAAGCTTTGTAAGTTAAGACTTAATAAGTTACCAGCTTCTCAACAAAATTGGATCCAAAACTGATGTCAGGGGAGGAAGAATCAAGAAAAATGGCTGTAATTGAGAAGTAATAGAAAGAATAGCTTTTACTTCCCAGCTAGTAATGATCACAGAACAAGATCAGACTGCTCTAAGCAATAGGAGAAGATTAAAAGCAGTCTGTATCTGGTATGCTTGGAAACAGGACGATATATTAAATACACTTATGATATGAGTAATAAGACAGCTTTATATTATTTCTTTAATTAAAAAAAAAAAGATTAATTTTGCCCTGAAGTAGCATTTCTCTGACATTTAATTCATGTTTGCCAAGAGCTCCCTGATTACAGGCACAATGACTCATGTGTTTTCTCTCAGCTTAACATTAGAGGCTTGAAGAAGATATAATGGGCTGACACATACTACTTGTTTCCTAACATCTTAGAATACCAAAGTTTCAGTGTTGAGCATTTTATTTTAGTTATCTTTATAAAATTTATAAAAACCTGTTTGTATTTTTTTCCAGTAGTATATGCACTGCATTATTTTTAATTTTGCTGTATCCCATGATTAGGGTTCTCCCCTCACAGTAAATTCTTGGAGTACTGTGGTTGGTTAGTTGGTTTTTGTTGGGTTTTTGTGTCTTAGGGTCAACATACTAAAATTGAATATTTTTACTTTTTCTTCTTCATTTGTTGCTGTTCTCTAGTCTCCTCTGATACTTAAAGTTGAGTTACAAGCTTAAAGCACTGGCTAATGAGCCTGAACATCTTCCTCATGTAATTTTGTTTGGTATCATCTTTTTCTTAGTTCACTCCTACTTTTGTTCCTTGGGCCTTGTATCACAAGGAAAGGAGAGAGACTTTGTCAATATGTTAGCAATAAAATTACTGAGGCATATGGCAAAACAAGTGATGACACTTGTGGCTGTCATGTCCTGTGACTGCAATGATTTGAGGGAGAAGAAAATATGAAGAATCTTTGGTAGACCAATGTTTTTTATGCTGTCGAAAGCATAAATGTTTTCATTTTTAACAGCATTTGGACCTGCAATTTCCATGCAGATCCTGATATTGATATCTGTGATTTTGTTGGAGGCTGCAGGCTTGATACAGAAACTCTGCTTTGGACAAGGTGGTAACCCAGTTATCTAAATCTCTAGCATACTTTCTAGAAGGTGTAGCTTGTAAACATGTTTTGTTTTAGCTGATATGCCAACAGATCGTAGTTGGCACTGAAAGCAAAATTCTTGTGAAAACTTGGAATGAATCTAGACTTTGCTAAGAAAATGCTCTAGACAACTTCACTTACGTATTTCTTTTCCTAACATTGTGGTGCTGCTTTGTGTGATGATGGAAAAACTGAAACTAGCTTGGTATGCAGCTAAAAAAGAATTAATCCTCTCCTGTTAGAAGAGTTATCCAAGATTATGTTAGCTATCATAAATATCCTTTGCTTAGCAACAGGAATGGCATTCAGGATATCAAGCCAACTGGAAAAAATACCTCTGACAGGGCTCTGTTGGGGTGGGTGGATAAGTTTTCCTGATAACACTAGTGCTTTCACTCCTGTCTGTTATAATTTGTGTTGCTAGGATCTGTTTCACAAGTTTTGTGACAGACTTATAAATGATACTCTGCCTCCTTTTGTTTACTGTCAAAAAGAACCATAATGTGGGGAAAGTGATTAGCAAAAGGATATGGAAAATAATGAAAAATCTGGGCACATAAGACCATGAGTACCTATACTAGGGCAGCTGTTCTTGAAGAGAAAAAGAAGTTTAAAAATTTCCTTTGGATTGCTGAAAGGAAAAACAACGTATGGTGGCATTCCCCTTCTTTACTTTTTATTAACTTAGCTGCTTCAGCAAAATAAGAAAGAAATTATTTAGTCATAAGACTTAAAACTTCAATTAGAATTCGGGAGCATTGTCATATATCATGCAAACTGCTAATGGTGAAATGTATTTTTATTTACAGATGTAATTCATGTTCTTGCTTCCAAATAAACTTTTCAACATGAATTGGTAGTTTCATTATCAGTCCACTCAGCCTGTTTGACTTTTTATACTTTTTCTTCCAGGGGAAAAAGAGGATGAACAGATAGTTGCAGAAATCATGAGGAGGCGTTTTTTTCCTGCTGTTATAACTCATGAGACCTGGGAGGGCTTTCACTTTGCTGGCCATGAGATAAGAATTACAGAAGCCACTGATTGTTATGGGGCAGTCGTCTGGCCATCGGTACAATATTTTTGCAGTATTGTTATTTTTTATTTTTGGAGTCTTCTAGCACTTTTTAATTTGTTTTGTAGGACAAATATGTTTTATTATATGTTGTAAACCCAAGGAAATAATTCTGTGCTTCTCTGTCTCTGTTCTGGAAATCCCAAACCTGAATTTAGCCTGGTTTTGTTTGAATGTGTGGTTCTGAAAGCTTAGATGGTATTTCTTCTTTGTGCCCCAGTCATACAAGGTGTATAATCTTGTGTCCCCTCCTCATTTACCAGTAACTTTTGATTCTATTAAGCAATTACATGCATATTTTGAAGGAAATATGGCAGTTTTATGATTATTGCATTTCTGTACGTTTTGTAAATACAGATGGCTGTGTATCAGGCAGATCCAGGTTGTGGAAGCCACTATGCTACAAGCTCACAAGATATTAGCACTCACAGAAACTACTCAGGCTACTCATGTAAGAAACAAATTTACCTTTTAAATATGTAGACAAGGGAAAAGGAGCTTTCAGTTTCTTAAGCAGCCAGAAATCTAGTGGGAGAGAACCATTGTCCTTGGCTCTTGATATAAGAACCGTGAGCACATCCACCATACAAGAAGCCTTCTTCAAGGTTTTGAATCTGTACAATCTAGCTAACTGACTGTTTGGAAATAATTAAGACTGAAAGAATCCACCAAGAGGTGCCACGATAAACCATTGGCACTTGTGGTGTCAGGGAACAGTCCCTGTAGGAGAGACCCAGGGGGCTCCATTTCTGTCCCAGCTGTATCAGTGTCCCAGGTTCATACTGTTTTTAAGAAGTATGGCCATAGTTCAGCTGCGATATTCCTTGTTTTAGGAGATCTGGACAAATAATCTCTACTATATGTTTTAGTGATGTCAGTGCATGTCCTCATGGAAAGTTTGGCTGACTGCTGATTATTCTCACAGAATCATGGGCTTCATTGAAAAGCACCTTTTTTTTTTTTTTTCCTGGAAGGGCTTAACCAGTTTTGCTGTGTAAGGAAGACAACCTTTCAATCTATGTTTCTTGGTGTTCTCCCTTCCTCTTGATCTAGCTTTACTTGAACTCTTATGAAAAATGTCAGCCAAATTTGTCAAGAGGGGAGAAACTTTAATGAAAATAAAGTTTCTGTATGTTTCATGGGAAGGCAGAACTCTCAGGAACTTTGACTTTGCTAGCTGGTTTCTACAGCAGAATAGGGTGAACTCTGAGGGAAGGAATTATAGGAATTTATGGAATAACAGGAAATCCTAATATAATGTGCCAAATATTAGTCAAATATCAGACCCAATCTATAGGAACCTGACTTTCATTAGCCCTAGTTCTCACAGACTTATTTCTTTACCAAAGTTCACATTACCTACTCTTTCACGGTCTGAATTAAGAGGTAGAAAACAAAAACTTTGTTTGAATTTCTAGAATGTTAACACTGGGTCAACACTCCTGTTCCTTTCCTTCTACTTCTTAATTAGTTAAAAGCAAAACTAAGAGTGTAATTTTATTGTGCCAGACCAAGCCACTAATAATTACCTTTCCAAATGGCAAGAGGATGTGGCAACCATCATATATATTTGTCAGTGGAGACTATGTAATTGTCATCATCTGGGGAAAAATATGGGAGACAAGCTCGAAACTATCTTTGCCAGAGAAATAAAGTTAACAATTTCTATTTCAACAGTGAACTAAAATTCATTGATTAGTGTGAGACAGGGCAGATAGGCTGAAGGGGCTTCTTAATCACAGTTTATAAATACTTGTGTAAGGAGACTGTTGTAGAGGGCTCTTTGTGGCTATATTTGCTATGAAAGTTTGCTAAGCTTAACGAGGTAAGCACATAGAAACTGAAAACAAACTGAACTGGAAGAAAAGGGGGTAAATCTATTTGTCCCTTTTGAATCATTATGATAATTAATTATTTGTAGAAATAATTTACCATTGGAAAACTTTACAAGGGTCATTGTGGATTTTCTCTCACAAGCAGTCCTTATGTCAAGATATCTTTGTAAAGGACACCTTTTGAATCAATCGGAAGTTCCAGTTATAAGCAGGAATTGCTGACTGTAATTTTACAGCTCATGTTATGCATAATGACAGATTATCTAATTGTAGTTGTTCCTTCTGGCTGTAATAATTTACTAACCTACATGGAGGCATGTTGTGGCATTTATTTTGTGAGCTATAGAGCTCAAAGATCATAGTGAGCTGTGATCCTTTAGGGATAGTGTTTAAATGGATATTGCTCATTTGAACAGACAACAGGTTTTTTGCATGCTTATGAATGACAATGCATATTTAGTGAAGGGGTTTATTTAATTAATTTATTCAGTATGTTCACGGATTTCCTCCACTACAGGCTCTTGTTCTGTGTTATTTTTTGGAAACTAATTCTAAACAATACAATTTGGTTGACAAAAATGTGATTGAAATTGGAGCTGGAACTGGGTTGGTCTCCATAGTAGCCAGCTTACTGGGTGAGTATGTGCCATTACTGTTATGGTCTTAGAAATAGCTCTCAGATGAATAGTGGAGGACAAAGGAAGTGGCTTAGTTCTTCTAAAAGGCTGTTGTTTGAGAGCTTCCCAGACCGAGAAACAGTAAATTCTAATTGGAAACATGCTTTGTCACTTTTTTTTTCTCTGAGTGTATTGATGCAAGAAAGGAATAAATATATTGTCATTAACTGTGTTAAACAGAGGACCAAAATAAGAAATTAGTGGCTTCACAGGATGTCAGTTGGAGCCAGATGTAAGTATGACCAATGCAACCCTTCCATTTACCAAAGAAGCTCTTAGATGCCAGGTCACTTTCTATCCATTTGTGTTTCAGTATTTTCCTTCAGCAACTTGATTTTTCTGCTACAGACACTGTTGTGTTTTCTCTCATGGTAGCCTATTCTTCCTCAAGAGTATTCCAAGTCAGTGGTGTCTGCATTTTAACAGAACTTTAGCTTTCTGTAGTCTGAGAAAGCTTCTTTCTCTGTGAAAAGGAAGAAACCTGAGGCAATGCTTAAATCTCATGCTGACTTCTTGGAGTCAGTAACTGGTATTCCTCTATCCTTAGCTGGTCACTGTACTTTTAACCAATGTGATATCAAGACACAGTAAGTATTTAATTTCTCCCCACCAGCTGCATTTAGATGGCAATCTGTAGAATAGAACTATCACAAATCAAGTATTTATTTCAAGCACAATGTCTAAGAGTTATTGGGAGCATTTACATTGTTCTGTTAGCCTCAGTGAGAGCTATTTGATAAAATGAGTTCCTTGTGCAGTGGCTTTTGTGACTGGACTTTTAGTCAAGTCTTGAAGTATATTAAAATGTTACATTTGTTTTCTCCATGTCACAGGTGCCTTTGTGACTGCCACAGATTTGCCAGAATTACTGGGAAACCTTCGGCACAACGTTCTCCGTAATACAAAGCTGAAAAGCAAGCACCAGCCTTGTGTTAAGGAATTGTCTTGGGGAATTGATCTGGAAAAGAACTTTCCTAGGTCTTCCTGTCATTTTGACTACATTATGGCTGCTGATGTAGTTTACCACCATCCGTTCCTGGATGAACTCCTCCTAACTTTTGATCACTTGTGCAAGAATGATACTGTTATTCTGTGGGCAATGAAATTTAGGTTGGAGAAAGAGAACAAATTTGTGGACAGATTTCAGACCCTGTTTGACTTAGAGATGATTTCTAATTTCCCCAGTTTGAACATAACCTTGTATAAAGCAATGAGGAAAGACAGCATGAAAGCCAGCCTTCCAAACTGATGGTCTGAAAGTGAGATATAGGAAGGTGACAGTTTCAGCTGTTCTGTAGCTTGTTCTCTTTTTAGTAATTTCCATGTTAGTAGCTGCTAACATCTACGTGAATCACAGTTTTAGAGGTAGCTAAAACAAAGCATCTGATTCCTAGTGCCTCCCTAATAAATTGCTAAATTCAATTTGCTGATAGTTTTATACACAGAAGAGATGTACTTTTGACATTTTCTTGACTTTTATGTGCTAAGATGACAGCTCTAATAAGTTTCGCTGGTCTTACCACTATTGTTATGGGTCATGTAATGAATATTTCCAAAAGCTTTCAGTTACAGCTTTGAGTGATGTCTTATATGATCAACCAATCATTTAAAACTCAAGACTGTCATGAATCTTTGCATTTAAAAGTTGAGGTGTTAAATATGATCTTTCCCCATTCTCACTATCATGTTAATCCTTCCTTAGAACACCCTTAATAGGATGTTAAATTAGTCGAAAAAACCCCTTACTACCTATATTGTCATAATACAGGGGTAGAATATATTAGTTACCCTTTGATTTAATAATTATGCTTTCATTTTTTATTTAGATTTGGAGATTCTTCATCAGCTGCACACATGAGGCAAGAGGGAGTTAAATGCTTTGTTGCTTGAACAAGTGCTCAATATGTAAGTTGTATAAGAAGAGTACAGCATATCACCAGCTGCCCTTTGCAAAGACCTTAGATTCTTGGATGTCTGCTCCTCCAAAAATAGACAGTTATCTGGACATCAGGGAACAACAATGGAAAAATGATGGTGACCATGAAGAGAGGAGCTTTGCACTGCCGGCTGCTGGTGGCTGGAGGTAGAAAACTAAACCAGCCTGTCATAGTGTGCCTGAGGCATGGACAGGCTTAGATATTTGTTTGGTTTTGTGATATGGACAAACAAAATACTTTCCTCCTAGTCCTCAGGATTGTGTGCTTCTGTTTACAGTGGCCTATCCAGTAGTTTTCTTATGGGGAGATTAATAAAATTATTCTTTCCACATACCATATTTTCTGATTCTGCTTGATTTTGAGACCTTCAAGTCCCTTGCAGGCTAGAGAAGAGAGCTTTATCACCCCTGCTGTAGCAGGCAATTGCCCTAGCAATATGAAGGCTCTGGGGACTGCCAGTCTTTAACTTTTTAGCCACTATCTGTACTTCCTCAAAGTGTATTTTATCTATTGTAGATTTGAGCATTTTTGTATTGTTGACTTCCAGAGCATACTAGTGTTTATACCTCTGACTGGGGCAGATGCATGCTACTTATGTACTCTGCTGCCTGGCACAAGTACAAGGCAGAATTATGGTAAATAGCTGGTACAACTGGGATGTACTTTTTCTTCCAGCTGAACATTGGGTTTTCTTGGGACTAAGGTGCTTGGTGTTAGAAATTAAGTGTTGCAGAGAGGAGAGGCTGAGCTGCCAAGCTTTTCCTGTGGGAGCTGGGTATCCTGTGTGTGAAAGGAGGTATTGAAGACAATTTTGGGGGAGAGCAGATGAGGATGTGGTAGGAGGGATCTCTTTTTAGAGGGAGGGTTGCAGAGAAAAGGTAGCTGTAGGGAGAAGGTCAGATGGAGAAAAAGAAAGAGAATAGTGAGACTGACTTCAAAAAGTTTTAAGAACCATAGCACCACCTTTCTTGCTACTGACTGTAGTGGGGACATCCTTGGTGAGACATGGATAAAACTAAAGCAATCAGTAGTATGTCTTAGCCCAGGACAGCAAATGAGAAGAAAGGGAGTCAAGTCTACTTTCTAGCTTTCCTGATGAGAGATTGCATGTGAGATTTTGGTTTGGAGGTTATTGGAGAAAAAGCTTCTAATCCTCATCAGTTAGTTTCCTGTGAGAAGGTTTGTAGATACAGGTAGCATCTTTTATTGGATCAATCAGTATAGCTAGAAAATTAGATTCTATGCCATCTGGCAGGAAGTATTACCCCTCCTTACAGATGTTATTATGCACATGGCCTTAGATCATTACAGCTGTAGAAAAACATGACTGCAAAATGGAAATATTTTTCCAGACTGTTTAATAGAAATAGTTCAGTGTAAGTGAATAAAGAAACAGACACGGATTTCTACCATTGCTTGATTTCCTCTCCCTGCTTCCTTATAACTTGTTTGCAACCATCAAATCTACTGCAATTGACACTGTAATCCATGTATCCGAAAGGGCATCTCTGTCTACAAATGCTTCACGGATAAATGGATTGGGACTATAAGTACTCAATAACAGTGAAATTATCTGGTGAATTCCAAAGTTATGAAGGCTAAAGAGGAACACTACAGTAAAGTGGTTAAGTGTGATCACTTTTAAACAGCTAACTAGCCCTCCTGTTTGGGCCACAGACTAACCCCTGCTGAGCTCCTGCTGAAGTCAACAAGAGATGTGTTTGTCGAATGGATTTGAGTTTGGCCACTTTAGGTTCAACAGCTTGTTAATATTTACTGGAATGTAACGTCAATTCTCTTTCTCACAAGTCTGCCTAGCACTGCTGTGTGAAGCTTCCTGGGAAATCTCTGGTGACTGGCTGCTCTATTGTACAGCCAACTTTTGTCCTCTGGTGTGATGGGCAGGTTATTAGCCATGACCAGTGGAGGGTGAGGTTGTATATCACATTTGCCTATGGAGTTTATTTCTGCTCTTTGAGAACAAGTCTCACACGAATGTCAAGTATTACTGACCCCTAAATTCAGTAATAATTTTACTAGCCACCTATTCTTTGTTTTAACATTTCAGATAAAGGATCAAATTGTTATTCAGTGCATTGTGTTGCTAATACACTGGCATTTGTATCTGTAGTTTGTGAAAGGCAGAAGGAAAAGAAGGTAAATTAAATTTGTGGGTGAAAGAGCTTCACCTTTGAGGAATGCCAGAGAATCTACTTATGCTGGTAGGTTTTTGCAGTCTCTTATAGTGTTATGGTAATCATACTAATTGAAAAGATAAATTGGGATGTATGGTATAAGTTAAATCCATTCCTCTGATTTTCTGTATTCCAATATAAGAATAACTTATTGAGCAACACTATAATTAAGTAACGTGATGGTATTTGCTAAATTTTCCCCAAACAATGTTTTTCAAGTGCTAACCCTAACCCTAATGTTTTCAGGAAGGGTTCTTTCTGCATAAAGTATATATAAAATCATTACAGTGATTTACTTTGCTGCTTATTATACAATAATTTCATCAAGGTATTCTACAATTCATTGTTGTTTCTTTCTTAGAATTAAAGTAACAAACACTTTCAACATTGTACAGTTTCCATATGGTAATACTGTGCTTTTGTCTCTGTCTTGCTGAATTGCCGTGTTGCAACTCTGAGTGATTTGGTTTCATTTGCATTATTACACCCACCCATGTGGCCTCTTGCCTCCTATAAAAACTGTAAGAAAAAGCTGTAGCTGCTGAAAAATTAGAAAAAAAGCATTCAAGTGACAGTACAGATCTATTGTGCAAAACCTCATTTTTGTTTAGAAGCAGCAATGGAGCCCCAGCCTAAGAAATGCAATTACCGAAAATACCCAAATAACTACCCATGGCACAAATGGCAGTTGAATGATGAAATTAACCATTCTACAAGCACTAGGTGAGCAGAAAATATTAAAAGGATACCACACGTGTCCTCCTTAATTGATCTTTAATGCCAATTACCATTGAGTATGTCAGCACAGGAAACTTGGGGTGTTTGATAAATGTAGTATTTCTTCAGATGACCAAGTCCTGAAACCTAAATGGGTTTAGAAGAACTCCAATTCTTCTAACAGCCTTTGAATTCTGAAGACCTGAAAGGTGCAGGACTTTTCCCTACTCATAGCCACTCTTACTGCACTGGTAACCAGTTCAATGAGAAAGAGATATAGATGCTATCAAAATATTACTACTCCATGGATGTAATTAAGAAATTGACATGTTCATTCTTATAATAACTTTGTGACATAAGGGAAATATTTTTACTCAGGTATAAAACAAAGGGGAGACTAAGCTAACTGTCAAGTGATTTAACGTCAGTTAGTGGTAAGGCCAGTACCAAAGTTCTTTCACAGTAAAAATAACATTTCCTGTGCTTTGAATTTGTTCACATTAAGAAAAAAATTCATTTTCATATTGAATAAAAACAAATGCTTCCATGCCACTCTAAATAAATTATAAACACCATAAAAGTATAAGCACGCAGCAATTCATTCATGGCCAGTCTTCGCGAACGAAGATTTGGGAAAGGTCTTTACCCTTCACGCCTGCGCAGTGGATTTTTTAGGTGAGACACAGTGTGCGATGAACTGAGCCCACCCTTTAATCCTAAGGTTCATCTGCCAGGGCTGAGTGAGCTTGGACAGTGGCAGCGAGGTCCTCAGGTTTGTTTAGAGTGACCTTCTCTTAGATGGATGGCCTTACAGGGCTGACGAGCTCCATCTGCCCGGAGAAGTTCCTTGACCGGGAATTGAACCCAGGTCGCAGCGGTGAGAGCGCCGCATCCTAACCACTAGACCACCAGGGAACTCCCCACATGCAGCAATAAGCAAGAGTAAAATATCAATTTTTCCTTTTGCATAGTTATGCCATCCAAACATACAATATGCAGACGGTATTGGATACTCTGGAATTTCAGAATCATTCAGGTTGGAAGGCACCTCTGAAGGTTATCTAGTCCTACCTGCTGGCCAAATCTGAGCCAGATTCAAAGTATGAAGAGGTTACTCAGTTTCTCTAGTTGGTACATGAAAATCTTGAAGAAAGGACATGTCACAATATATCTGAGCAGCCTGTTAATTTCTTTTTTTCCCTCTCACATAACCAAATGGAATTTTTCTTGCTGCAACAGGGCATCTGTCTTTTGTCATTTTGCAGTGCACCTTTGGCTTCATCTTCTCTATAACTCTCTTGTTTTATAGCAGAAGACAGCTATGAAATCCACCTCTAATCTTCCTCTCAACAAACCCGGTACTCTCAGCCTTTGCTTCCTTCAGCCTCTGAACCCTTTTAGTCCTTCTCTGGATTCTCTTTAGTTTGTTAAGATTTCTACCATTAATGGTTCCACAAGTGGACTGCAGATGGGGTGTCATTATGCCACATACTGGGATAATTATCACTTTGAATGATCTGCTGGCTACACTTTTGACAATGAAGTTAACTTGCATTATCTGCAGGAATATGTGCAGGGTGCGATGCATTTAAACCTCTTCTCACGGAGTGCAAATCGACTCCTGTCGTTATCCTCTCTTCTTGTCCTTCTTAAAGACCTGTGGATCACAGCATTGCAGTTGTGTCATTTATCTGAAATACAAGGGTCTAAAATATGCATGTAACTATTACTATCTCTGAGAAAGAGTGATAATTGGAAATCAAGAGACAAGTAAATCGGGATTACTTAAAAGATGTTGACTCTTAGGAGTTATACAGGCATAAAGTCTAAATGTACTGAAATCCTGAGTGCTTATGTTCTTGGAAGTCCATAATTAGATGAGTGTTCTATAGAAGTTCATTGATTGTTAGAGATTATTAACGTCTAGTATGAGATTACTGTATTATTGGATTACCCACATTATGCATTGTC